GGTGCAATTTAAGTAGGTGCAACATGTAGTAAATGCAAAGGCAGCCATAACCAGTTACTTTGTGAAGCAGTCAATGAATCATGCCCTGTTAGATGCAACTCAGAGGTGACTTTGTTGATGGTTCAGGTGTGACTAACCAAGCAACTCTAGGTCGGGTGTGACCAACGATGCGACTGCTGGGAAGGACAGGGTATAGTTGCAAGTCATAAAAATTCAGATTCAGGGACCCAAGGAGGCTGTTTATGCCAATGTGTTATTTGATACACGGTCTGACAAACCTTACATTTTACTTGGTGAACAGTGTTGTTTCACCTGAAAGGGTTGATCGCGAATGTGTCTCTTATTGCTACTTTGTCAATTAGAATTCAAGAAAAACTTCATTTAGTGATGTTTACAATGCAGTCGTCAAAGTGTAAACGCATGAAACGGAATCCTAATTAATACATTTTATTTTAGGTATTTACACTAACAAGCAAACAAAAAAGACCATAAAAACACCAGTTTCATTCACCTGTAGAGAAACAATAGCCTACACATTGTAAATACGGACGCAAGCACCATATCTATTAATTGGTTTACATATTCTCTTATTTATCTCATTGTCTATTGTTTTGTAGAAATACAGAGATAACAGAGATACAGAGATAACTGCACAATACCTAATTTACCTCATTTTTGATAACCGTGTCGTTGATAAATAACTTCTTGTTTATTTTATGTAATGAGGGTTCTTTACAGGGTATAAATATACTGCCCTCTTTCACCCCCATCCCTCCAAAAAATAATAATACTGAAATCACTAGGAAATCGACGTAAAGCTCCGCAATCTGCTATATTTTTGTATTACCGTGTCTAGAACTATTCGACGTCATGGAGTGACCGGATTTATCAGTGCTGTAATACACTCTTGCCCAAAATGGTTGGTACACGGAAATTTTGGGATGCATATCGCCCTTTTTCTTTCATTATTATTGATAGTACCAAATTAAAACTGTTTATATTGTTAAATATGTGAAGCTGGAGGATTGGTTAAGTCAAGGAGAGACAACTAATGCAAATGTAAAAAAAGCGTTAATTTATTTAGGTTTTTTTTTTCTCATGCCCCCAAAAAGAGTACTTTTTTACATAACAGTACCAAGTGAAAAATTAAACATAAATTTATACTGTGATTGACAATTAATATGAAATTAGGGGAAATTGTCAAGAAACATCTTCAGAGTTTATTATTAATCTCAATAGCGGGTATGCCCACCCCGAGCTTGGATAATGACCGCCAGACGGCGTGGCATACTGTGAACTAGAGTAACAGCTCTTTGGAGAGGAATTCTGGTCCATTCATATTGAAGGGCATCTCGCTATTCATCTAGATTTGCAGGGGGAGGGTTTCTCCTCTGAACAGCACGACCAAGTTCGTCCCACATGTGCTCAATTGGGTTTGCATCTGGGCTTCTTGCTGGCTGTGGCATCAGCTGAATGTTGTTTTGTCGGATAAAGTCTGCAATTAAGCGGGCTGTGTGTTGAGTTGCATTGTCATGTTGCAATCTAAAATTGTCTCTGTATATACCTCTTGCGAATGGCTCCAGGTTCTCCTGGAGAATGTCTCTGTATCTGGCAGCGTTAAGGTTTTCATCCAGAGGAAGCAATGGGCAAATGCCGTTGCTGCAAATGACACCCCAAAACATGTACAGAACCACCTCAATATTTCACTTGGTACTGTTATGTAAAAAAGTACTCTTTTTGGGGGCATGAGAAAAAAAAACCTAAATAAATTAACGCTTTTTTTACATTTGCATTGGTTGTTTCCCCTTGACTTAACCAATCCTCCAGCTTCAAATATTTAACAATATAAACAGTATTAATTTGGTACTATCAATAATAATGAAAGAAACAGGGCGATATGCATCCCAAAATTTCCGTGTACCAACCATTTTGGGCAAGAGTGTACCTCCTCCCTCCCCACCGGAAGCACCGTTGTCGATATGCTAATATTTTTTTTTCGGTGAGAAGCAGATGCCGAGGACAGCAGTGATAAAACGTTTATATACAGGGTATAAGAAATATGATAAAGAATATCTGGATGATCAGTGAGTATTGTTTTGAAGGTAAAAACAGGAACTTGATTTCCTGTATGCTTTCAAACAAGCATAGACACATGTTATGACATTTTGTCTTCCACTTGGGTTTAAGAAATCTTTAAAACATTTTAAAGAATTTTCTATATCCCCTACATCACTCTTAACAAAAGTGCAAACAGCCACACGTGTTTATCCCAGTTTTTACACAGGTATCATTGTGCAAATTTCACAAATACGAACAGGTTATGGCACAATTATTTGCATTTTAGTTACTTTTTTTTCCACTCTTGAAATTGTTTCTGTCTCAACAGCCACAATGGTAACTAAGTGGTCCATGCAGCGACCACAATTTCAACCAGACACAGCTCGGTCACCAAGAGATCGTTCCCAGTCATATCGGGTGAGGCAGTTTGTAGTGAATCAAAGTTTTAATTTTCGGTGTCCTAATTAAAATAATAGGGCCGTTTCTCTGAAGGGCAGAATCCACCAAAAAGACAAATCGTTGCTTATTATGGACGATATATATGTATAATTTCTTTTTTATATGCCTTATGTGTTGCTGGGGTTAATATTGAGGTCTATTAGAAAGATAGCGTGTAACTACTGCATATTTTTCCAGGACCAGGGGGAGTCAGATGTGTTGAATAAAGTAACAGATAAAGTAAAATTATAAAGGACCAAATTTTACGACCAAAAGCATTGCTGTTATGCATTGGAAAAGATGGGACATAAATTTAAACGAAAATGATCGATTTGTATATGGGTAGGGTCCTGCCATGTTTTTCATACTTGGGATTTTAAAACTGACACATTTTTATGTTGTTTTTTTATTGATTTATCGATTTTTATCTTTTACCTAGATGAGATAAATTCGCGATGTGATCAGTGAGAACGTTTAGATCATGGTTGCTATTTTTCTTTCTGATTGCATTAATAATCCTATGTTTTCTCGAGTAACTTGTGTTGGTAAAACGAATATACATTTTTAAACCATGGTTATTGTTTTTTTTTTTCTTTTTTTTTTTCAGCGCATCACCTTCACCCATTTCACCTATTTGTGAAAATAGACCAAAGGCAAAAAAAACTAATATAAAATTTTACTACAGAAGATCATCTCGCGAGAAGAAGCAATATTTTTCATTTTACTGGTCATATAAAGTCACCAATTATATTTATAACGAATCGTCGCTGTCCAAGGGTAGATAGTCATTTATTGGAAATTTAAAGGAAACAGTTATTAATTTTTACAATCGATAAAAACACAGCCTTACCATTCAGTTTTGAATTTTGACACAGTATTTATTTAATGTGGACTTTACAATTTTTAGATCAATCTCTTAAATTTTGGTTCACTTAGTCAGTCCTCCATAATTTTAAAACAGTATAAGGTTACTACGTTCTTTCAAAATTGAAGGATTGGAAACATTTATAACCAAAGGGGCAGTTTTTGTTTCAGCTAAAGGGACTTCAGGTTCAGTTAGAGGGTTCAGTTACGTGTTTCATCAGATGATAGTAGCATCACGCCCTAGGTCTAAGCGAGTTGAATAGAAGCTTTTTATCCAAACATCCTATTCCTAACTACTGAGTTAGGACAAAGGTCTAGTAACATGCACTGTGCAATTACTATTAATAGATCAGTTGCATACTCGATTGATTTTCCTCTGGTTTCGCACGTATGCATCCTTTCTTGAGTTATCTAAAACAAGTCGCTAGTGTACCATGTTTCTCACTGTAGCAAAATATGTTCGACATGGCGTTTCTGAACGGCAGCCAGACACACAGTAATTGTATAGGCATGGTTTAAGCTTGTTCGAGAGATAATAACAGTCGTGTTTAACAATAGATAACGAGCTTTAGTAAGACCCCCTCCTCTTTAACTGATGATTTACACTTTTAATTGGCCGTACTTTCGTATATTGTATGATCACACAGCCAGACTTCCCCCTGTTGCACGTTGTAGTCGGATTGTCATTGCGCCTATGTCAATGCACCTCATTTAATTTCAATATTATGATATAAGCATAATATAAGTAATATATTCTTTCCTTATTCCTCTTTCATTATCATTCATGTTTTATAAATACTTGAATGCTTGAATGCAGATATTTCAAATTAAAACGTAAGTACATAAATAAATTATACATTTATAAATTAATGCAATAAGAATTTTTTGAGACAGATTGATGCTGACGCTCATGCATTTCAACCAAACAAACAATAATTGGTTGAATTTTTGACTGCGGAAATTTCATAAAGGATGAAATAACTGATAACAAATTTAACTAGCAGTTTGTTAGCAACACTAAAAACCAGCTGCGCGTGCCAAACTAGTGAACAAAAGGACAGTTCGCTGCGTGGCACGCCTTAGCATGGGTTTTAGCCTCTTAAAGCTATAATCCTATCGCTGCAGCAAACAATAGGGACCTTCTGGCTGATGTATCCTGCTGTTAATTACACCTAGTTACAGCGGATTGTCGCACTCGCACTGGACCACAGAAACCGGCGTCATGGGGTTCACTCGTCTTAAGTATTGTGTTATTCCACCTAAGCTATTGTGATTGTGACAGTGCGTTCGAATTTTGAAGGGATTTATATGGCCCTCCATTGTTTGTCCGCCCCCTTCTATTCACAAGATAGGGATTAAAACATTTCGAACGTTGTTACACCGGTGTACAACGGAAACAAAATTATTACTACCACTGTAGCTTATTGGATAAAAGTCAAAGTCGCTTATTATTTCAAAGAATTTCAATACGTCTTTGAAGTTCAGGGTAATGAGAGATCAGCTTAATGTCCTTGGTATATCTTGGTATTGTGAGAAATCAATTTTATATGCTTTTGTCAATGTTGGCATTTCTTATTTCAATTATTGTAAATTGTTTTATAAAGACAAGCCCACGAGTGTGTTCGGTAAAGTCTCGTATCCTAGCTGATCAAGTTCAGCCATCCTGTGTCTTCAGGGTTTAGAATCTCTTTCCCTCTTTGAGCAAAGCAATGCATTTCTTTGGCTAGCTCTCTGATCTTATTGGCTTGTTTAGACCCGGCCTTGCGATGCTCCTTGATGGAGGACATCACTAGGGTGTAAATATCATAGGGCACCAACAATGCGCTCATTACAAATCCTCCTATATGCAGAACTCGAAGCCCTGTTCCCAGTCCTCTAAAAACAGTTGCGGCTGCGTCGTCTGCAACTCCCAAAGTGATCCTGATGCCACTTATGACTGATATCCCGACACTGCCCGCTATGTTTGACAGCAATGAATTTGCATCTGCAGCTGCAGAGATAGCATTAGACGATGGTAACATCCCTTTAAGCCTTTCTAAACTCTCATTAGGGCAGCTGTAGAACCGGCAATCTTTCCTGAAATTTTGTTTAAAATATTTTGAGACATGACAGGTCTCAACAATTTTTATTGAAAAGGCGATGAAATGAAATATTGTATTTTTGCACTTTCATCTAACCAATTCACTACAGATCAAAGAATCTATAAAAAGGAAGTGTTGTTGGATTTATTTGAAAGTTCTGCTACACAACCTGTTAAAGGAAAGGGGTTGCAACTTTAGGCTAAGCGTTTCGACACATTTATCATTAAAATGGTGTAAGGCCCCTGATAAGATGATTTAGCTACATGCTAACAAGAATAATAATCTTCCAAAATAAACCGATACATAGTGTTTTGATAAAGTTAAGTGTGGAAATAGCCGTAGTTTGCTATATGTGTTTTTGCTTTCTTTTTTAAAATGTGGCCCTTGTGATAATATTCATTTTGAGATAACGCCTCCTGTCTGAGTTCTGTTTTAACATGCAGCTTCGTATTACATGTTAACAAGGATTAAGTCTAATATAACATGTATATGCAAGCTGCCCTTCACATTCCCAAGGTCAATCCAAAATGATGCACATTGAAGAGGTGCAGAGTTTGCAACGAGTCATGGAAAAGGCACCCTCTAACAGAGCCGCGAATAAATTGTGTCCTTTCCCCAGAGAAGAGAATCGTGACTTGAACCAAGGACACAACTGTGAATAACTAGTGACAAATCCACCTTTGACCCTGGTAGAGGCGTTTTCCAAATTTGCGCTCAACTCCAAAAATGAATCAAACTTCATTGGTTCCTGCTCACCGGTGATTGCTCGTTTCGTTGAGGCCTTTTCAATGCGAGCAAACTTACGACGCTCGTTTTCCAACTCCTTTGGCATCTCCTCAGTCTCCTCTGGAACTCCAACAGTCATTGGTTCTTGTTCACTAATGACAGAAGACCCCGTGATGATTCTTTGAACACTGAAATAAATGATAACTGTCAAAAATTTATCAGAAAAAATGCATACGTGCTCTTTACAAATTTTATGAAAATGTGGCCAATTAATGCATCACATGTTCGTGTTGGCTTTTGTTAAATGCACGGGGCAACTTATTATAATGATCTAAAGTAGTTCTACTTATTTAAGCTTATGTGCAAATTTAAGTAAAACTGTAGTTTAGAGAGATTGTAAAATGTAACTGTACACATTACACATTTTAATGCTCAATAAATTATTATTATTATTATTTGTCTAACATATTGCATACCTTCATGTCAATTATATAAGAAAACATACCAACAAGTAAAAGTACAAGTAATTCACTGTTTTGGCATAATACAAGTGAGCAAATAATGATAGTAAAAATAATCAATAGTAAAAATTTAAATTTTTTTCTATTTGTTTTGAGACTTTTTATCCTTCAATACTTTGAAAGTCTCTCCTGCATAGAAACAGATTTCACAGGACAGCCTGTCTCTGCCTCTTCAGCAAGACCGCTCCCAGATGCGTCAAAATCTCCCATTACTTGTAAAACAGTAAAAAGCATAGGTTTGATTATAGAATCCTCTACACATTTTTCTAAACTTTATCTATAATCTGTCGAACAATTACATAACTTCAACAAGAGGAAAACATGAGTTAAGGTTAAACAAAAGAGGGATTAGCATGGTCTTGTCATTTACTACAGATGTTGTTCACATTTAAATAATCTATTTATACGGTCCATAAGTCGGCTATCAATTTCAAACTTTATGTCAAATACGGTACGTGACAGTCCAGTTTTTACTGACTCGATTTTGATTTCATCTGCTCATGTGATGGTCCTTCTTGGATCGCCTCTTTTCCTTTAGTGTCATCAGTAATGCTCATTATTGCCATAGCACCCACGGTGTCAGGAGCTTCATCTTCACTTCTTAATATCTGACATGTTCCAATGTAGGCGTCCTCTGATATATCGCATGTGATATAGAACTCCACATGATGCTCCCAAGAGATCTCAAGAATTGTGTCTAACAGCAAGATGTCAGAGAGAGTTGCAGTAACAGTCCCATCCTTATACTTTGACCAGAAATAGGTCAAGTCTTCCAGTGAGTAGAACCTCACAGTAAGTAGAATACTCCCTGTTCTAATAGGTCCAACAAGCTTAGTTTTGAACTCAAGCAAATCACTTAAAATGCGTTTTCGTTTTCTAGTATTTTGTAAAACTTCATCTGTTAGTGCTTTTTGTGCTATTTGAAGTATTACTTCATTTGCTTGTTTATCCCTTTCAATTTTGTTTAGTTCCAGTTTGAGTTCAAGATCTGTAATACAAGAATCCTTTGCTTTTATAACTTTACAGATTTATTTTACAATTCAAACCAAAATCCCTAAGCGTCCAGATACAGATATTTGCCCAAACTTTCAGTAGTATGAACTGAATATGCACTTCTGACCTGGGCTGGTAGGCAGATACCAGTGTTTGTCATTTTAATTAATGATCGTTATGTCGCAATCAGTTGTTACAATACCAAAGTACAAATGCAAAATATGCTGCAACTTTTTTTCAGTAAAAATGAAATAAGTACAATGCAAAATGCAAATAATATAATGTTGATAGGCTACAAACATTGCATATGACATCTGCAGTTAGCAGCCCATGTGCGACCCAGTACAAACAACTGAAAACCTTGAGTGAGCATATTAAAAAAGGAAACTATTCAGTAAAAAATATTCACATTTTGCAGTTAAATTAATTAAAAAGATAAAAGACAAAGCTTGAAGCACATTACTCCAGCTTTAAATAAGCTAATTTAGTTACCAATTTGGCAAATAATTTTATTTTAAGTCTTTTGCATTGTTTTTATAGATTTTTAAAGAAAATACACCAAGTTATATTGCTGCACCTATTAATCAGTTTGGACCACAAAGACAACAACATGTAACCAATGCAAGTTAGAGCGACAGTGTTAATTTTTTTTCGGGCCCATTGTGGAACAAACTGCCGTCAGTTTTTAAGTCTCTCTAGATGTCGAATTAATCTCTTTTTTTATTTTTATATTATCATTGTTGTTAAACATTTTAAGTACGTTTGTATTTAAGTGCTGTAATTAATTCTTAAGAATCCTTATAAATTCTAATAAGAATTCTTGTATTATCACTATAATGTATATAATTACATAATGTAAGGAAATGTAAAGCGCTATACAATAAATAAATATTGTTACTATTGTTGTTGCTGTCATTATTAACTTTTGCTGCAGCTGTCCCTTTTTGTTGGCACATCATAAACCTCCCCAACTATCACGAAAGCAGAAACGCCTATCTCGCTGCAGAGACGGCATGAGATAAGATAAAATTAGGAGGGCATCTTTGAATACACATTACATACTAATTAGTTACTGTAAGAACAAGAAAATTTATCTTCCTTAGGTTTTATGAAACAAAATTATCAGATAGAGAAAAGAGATTGAATAAAACATGAATTCTGTACATGTGTATAGGGATATATTATAGGCCGCATTCACATTGAGNTATGTATGCTAAATTTTAAATCCATCATGCAGTTACAGATACGTGGTATAGTTTACCTACCACAACCATACTTTGATACAGTGATATATATTATACCTACTACAATACCACATTTGTATTTAGTGATGTATTGTACTTACCACAACCATACTATGATAAAGTGATATATGTTATACATACTACAATACCACAATTGTATTTGGTGATGTATTGTACCTACCACAACCATACTTCGATATAGTGATATATATTATACCTACTACAATACCACATTTGTATTTGGTGATATACATGTATTGTACCTACCAAAACCATACTATGATATAGTGATATATTATACCTACTACAATACCATATTTGTATTTGGTGATGTATTGTACCTACCACAACCATACTATGATATAGTGATAAATATTTTACCTACTTCAATACCACATTTGTATTTAGTGATGTATTGTACCTACCACAACCATACTATGATATAGTGACGTATATTATACCTACTACAAAACCACATTTGTATTTGGTGATATATTGTACCTACCACAACCATACTATGATATAGTGATATATTACACCTACTACAATACCACATTTGTATTTGGTGATGTATTGTACCTACCACAACCATACTATGATATAGTGATACATATTTTACCTACTTCAATACCACATTTGTATTTGGTGATGTATTGTACCTACCACAGCCATACTGATATCAGGATGACGATAACAGCAACCACATACAGCCACATTGTGAGTAGTCTGAAAGAAACATTTAAAATAAAATAAAATACAAATCAATTGACCATGTATTTCAATGTGACAGCTGATGGGGTTTCCGGTTATTGATATCTGGTCTTAACAAGCTGGCAGCATGCTATATGCTCTGTTAACTGACGATATCAAGATCTCTCACTTCCCCTCTCTCTCTCTCTTTCTCTTTGAAGGTTCATGTGGTCCGATGGCAAGCACATATTTAAGTGCAGTTGCAATAACGTTTTCTATGTTTTCTTTGCAATATATTCATTGGGGAAGTTTTAAACTCACATGAAGAGCTGTTATCCCCTTTAGTTCAGAGGTAGATGATCCTTGCTGAGAGGACAGTTATGTTGAGGTCACAGCGCGCTGACCTTTCTATAAAACGTAAATAGTTCGGTGCCAATATTCATATACTGTTATGACAAACTACCGTTTCATCATGCCCCTTTCCTTTTTAATGTCATTTATTTTTGCCTTTTTCTGTTATGTTTTATAATATAGCTTTTATTTTGCTTGTCCAATCCTTCTTTTGTTTGGTAAAGACGTATATGGTCAAGCCAGAATCTTCCCGATATTCAGAGGCAAGACGTGGTGTATTGTACATAACAATATATTGTATATAACAGTATATCGTATATATAAGGAGTATGTGGGACTGAACACACAAATGGGATTTAAACACTGCAGCGCTGAATCACTGTGGCATTGAACGGCATTAACTGCGGTAAGAGTTAAATACTTGTTTCAAAAATACAGGACAATTAGTCAAGTATTGATCATCAAATATATATTTAATACCCTACACTTATATATCCACGTCACGCACGTGTAACTTGTATAAAAAGCTGATCTGTTATGCTATATATAATATAATATGGTCTGATATGCTTATACAGTTTATACTATCTTAATATTCCCATTGCGCTTGCTTTGCGCAGCAAACCTTTTGGTAAATCTAAATAGAAATTAAGACTGGGCCCCCATACCCTAGATCGAACTAACAGGATCGATCCATATCCAAGGGATTTCTCGCCAAACTGATTTCAGCTTCGGCGGCTTAGGTGTCTGATATGCCAACTGAAGCTGCTTAGGCCCCTACTTCACACAGACCACGAATCCCACGAATCGCCAGGAATTGACAAATTTCAGGATTCGTGAGGATTCATGAGATTTTGCCAATTTTTTTGGTCTAATTCGACACGCTCTACGATTCAGTTACGATACAGGTGCGATAGTGTTACGAATATTCGTGGGATTCGGCTGGAATCGCATGAATATTGTCCAGAAATTCACTACGATTTTTTGGAATCGTGAGTTCGTGGCCAAAACTTTGAACAGCTCAAAATTTTCGCCACGAATTCCCGATTGATCAA